ATGGGACCAAAACCTCTCAAGGTATAATAAACGCCAATCAAAGCAACCAAACAATTCATCAAGGCACACGACCCATGATTATCACAACACCTCAATTTAGTCAAACAATTATCAACAAGTCTCATTAATCACCAACAACCCAAACTCGATAAGCACAAAAACCTAAGCACTAGACCAGTCAACCAATTAAAAGTAGAAAATAAAAACAACCTATAAATACTAGACCTGATCAATCACGTAGTCACGTAAAATTCCCCCACACTTAATAAAAAAATGTCCCCGTTGTCGACAATAAGTGTTAGAAAGGTTCACAAGTACAAAAAATAACGGACTCAACTAAAAGAAACCATACAAAAAAATAAAGAGAAAGGAAATGAAAATACGTACAAACCACAGTGACAAATTACTGTTTGGAGGTGGAGGTGGAAGGTAGGGATACCAGGTCCCAAGCTCCAACGGGCGTCCCACTTATTCATTTGGCACTCCATTAGTTTGAGTCAAGCATTAGTTTGATCTTTTCGTGCCTAGATGGACTAAAAGTGGTTATCGAAGCTGTCGAACTGGGAATCCATATGATTCCATCGATCTTGTTGACTGGATTCTTAACTATCCCATCTAGACACGTGCTGGGCCTCTCGAGTGTAGCAGTTGTTCCACCGCTTATCTTGTGCGTCAAAGCGTGCATGGATGAATTTGATGTCATTTTCGTAACGGTCCTGGAATGATGTCCAACGGTCTTCGAACGATGCCCACAACACCGATGGTTGTTGCGGTCGAGCCTCATGTTATGGTTTGGAGTTAGGTCCCACTGATATGACGACAGCAGAAGCAGGTGGTCCTCATCTACATTCATTTGCTCATTACCCTCTTCTTCTGCCGTTCATCGGGATGATCCTGCTTGACAAGTGCCAATGTCTTTCTTGAGTTATTCGAGATAGGCAATGTAGGTCGAACGTAATGTATAATCCCGAATGGTGGTCCAACTGAGGATAAGGCCAGCTTGTCTGAGCTCATGGGCATAAATCTTCCACAACAGTGTTGCCCTCCAACGAAAACAAGGGATCGATGTTGGGGGAGCTTGGCTCGATGCCAAACTGTCTGGAGAGTGCAACAACAACGTGCCCAAAAGTCGGGTACCCATGCTGGCTAAGAGCAACATCTTGCAAAATGTTCTGAAGGAAAGTTATGGACACACGTTCTTCCTTACCCGCATCGCCCATATGGAAAAAGGCTCCTGCTCGCTCACCTTGTTTGCCTCCCGTTTCCCAAGAAGTTATAGCACAAGAACTTGTGCACAATGACTATGGAGACATCCTTAATGAGCCAATTGGAAGGGCTGCTCGAATTCCAAGATGTACAAGGTGATATCTCGGCCCAACACTTATTGGCGTCAAAATATGTTGGCTTGCTTCACATTCTGGTTGTTCTGAAGCTTAAAGACTTGTTCATGACTTTCTTGTTGATCATCAAATCTTTTTGAGTAACTGACAGGTGATGTACTCGCATCCGTCAACTAGCACGAACATGCTAAAGAACTCCAATTTTAGACTCCTATATGTTGGTTCGATCTTGTTGGAGTAACGATATAGGTTGAGTACCTCAAGTTAAATTTTGACATATTCCATTACTCTCAAGTTGTTTAGGAAGTCCCAATCAAACGCCTTGGGCCTCACCATTTCTTTCTGCAAGAGGCGGAGATAGGTCTCGTTCTCTTTCCTCAAGTATATTGGGGACGATACATTGTATAGTTGGTGAATATCCACTTGTTCTCCCTCTCGTGGGGCTTCTCTGGCTCCTTAGTTCGAGGGTTTAGCTACCTTCTATTTCAATGGAGTAGAGGAGTTGACTTGATCGGACTTCCCCTTTCTCCCACGTGCCAGTGTCTTGCCCATTATGAGTTGAAATGTCTTGTGGGCAAATTATCACACACATTGTGGACAAGAATTTTGATCTCGAGATTTTTTTTAAAGAAAACATGGATGAATGATGCTCGCTGTTTAATCCTTACTTTAACCGAAACACATCAACCAATCAACTCACCCAATACCTTAAATGTGATACTTGACTAGAGGTGTGGGAGTTGCTGGAAAAATAGGGTTCCCAGTGTTGGGTTCTATGAGGAATGTGGTCCTCGTGCACATTCAAATCTATTAAAATAAATCCTAACGCAGCGGAATCTATTATTAGGATTAGGCTGAACCAGTAGCTCAAGGCATGATCGACCTGAATGAAGGAATGAGGAACCGAGCTCCTCATGGAGCTCGAATGGATAAGGGGTCGATACGACCTTGAGGTTGGTACAGACGAAGATCGTAGTTTCGACCTTGTGAGGTCTTGTGGCGGATGGGTCACGAGGTCGCTGTGAGGACTTAACCTAGGAGTCGTGTCAGGAGAGGGAACAAAATTCTGGCAAATATGGCAAATATATCTCACTAAAGATTATAAGATATCAGAGACGTGTCATACTAGGAAAGAAGATACGGTAGAAATTCTTTCCTAGTAATGAGGCTACTTGGGCAAGAAGATAACCTACATATAAAAGGAGGTTACCAGGTTATATGCTAAATTAATGCATTATTACGCTTTAAGATACAATTTTCGTAAATTAGCGAGTGAAATCTGACTTAAGCATCGGAGGTTTTCTGCCGGAATCGCTCTCCGATGTGTTTTGAAGGTCACCGTAGCTCAAAGCGAAAGGCAGTTCGTGGTGGTGCCTGTCCAAAACCCGATCTAGAGAAAATTTTACGTATCACTATTTATGTTATTTTTTAAACTATGATATTTTTTAACGAAAATATGAATAATGATATGTCGGTTTAATAGTTAGACCAGTCTAAGATAAGATGTACTGTAATTTTATATTTGTTCATGGAGTTGATAACTTTTTTATTTATTATTTTTATATGGGGCTTCATAGCCAGTTATTGGCAACATCCTCAGCTACATACCTCCCACCATCACAGCAGAACAAAATGCCTCCCTGGTGTCCCAAGTGACTGAAGAGGAAATAAAAAATGCATTATTCAGTATGCATCTCGACAAAGCACCTGGGTGGAATGGTATGACTCCTTTATTTCAAGCTTTCTGGAGTATAATTAAAAATGATTTGTGCAAAGCTGTCTTATCTTTTTTTACTACTGGGCATATGGCTAAAAACTGGAATCTCTCTTTAATCACTCTCATACCTAAATGCCAATCACCAATAACTGTGGGAGACTACAGGCCAATAAGCTTATGTGAGGTTATTTATAAAGTCATCTCTAAAGTGCTTGCTGATAGATTAAAGCCCTGTTTGGCTGTATGCATTAGTAACACTCAAGCGGCTTTCATTCCTGATAGGCAGCTACTTGACAATGTTATTATTGCACAAGAAGTCTTTCACTTTTTAAACGGACATAGAACTGGCCCTAAAAAATACATGGCTCTAAAGCTTGATATGTCAAAAGCATTTGATCGAATTGAATGGGCCAGCATTGGCAAAATCATGGCAAAAATAGGATTTCATGGTCACTTCATTAAATGGATCATGGCTTGTGTGCAATCCTCTACATTCTCCTTTAAACTAAATGGCCATCCTGCTGGATATGTTGTGCCCTCAAGAGGAATTAGGCAAGGAGATCCCCTCTCCTCTTACCTATTCCTCTTGGTATCTGAAAGCTTATCTTGCCTTATTCAACATGAGTTGGCTAGTGGTGCATACAAAGGATTAAAAATTTCAAGGCAAGGTCCCACCCTGAGTCACCTATTTTGGTTGATGACTCATTATTGTTCTGTCAAGCTACTACTGATTGTGCTAACCTCATTCTGACTATGTTGGAGAAATATAAGAGCTTTACAGGTCAGCAAGTGAATATGATGAAGTCCTCAGTATTTTTTAGCAAGAACACACCTGGAGATATTCAGAGAAACATATGCCACATCCTGCAAGGAATCACAGTACAACATTCCTCAAGATACCTGGGATTGCCTCTTGGCATGGGAAAATCCAAAAGGGACACTTTCAGATATGTGGTGGATGCTGTCAAGCATAGACTATTAAGCTGGAAGAACAAATATTTATCAGGTGCTGGCAAAGAAGTCCTCATGAAATCTGTCCTTAATGCACTCCCAGTTTTCACCATGTCATGTTTCCTCCTTTCAGTGGGTACCTGCAAAGAACTGTCTCAGTTGTTTGCAAAATTCTGGTGGTGCACTCAATCTTCAACAAAAGAAAATG